TTAGATTGTTCATCGCAGTTTCTCGACACACATAGTCTAGAAGCAAACTGGACATAACTTTTAGACGGTAATTTTCTAGCCCTTTTAAAATTATTCAGGCATTCTTGGGGAGTAGGTTCAAATTCTTTTAAAGCCAAATTTTTTAACTTTTCGTAATCACACAAATCTCCCTGACAAACATACACTAATAAACTATTAACTCTATCTCCTAAAAGATTTAACAGAATTTCGGCTTTATATTTATTAGGCACTGATTTATTTTCGAATACTTTTTCTAACGAATTGAAAAATAAATTAAACGATTCTGACTTAGCCGGCACTGAAATTGTTAAAACCTTAACACTTTTGATTAAACTTTCCAAACTATCTGAATCTGTTTCGCCATTCACTGTAGTCTGAGATGCATTAGCTAGGTTACCACTAATTTTTGCCAACTCTAACTGTTTTTCTAATTGAGCTAACTTTAATCTTTCTAATTCTATTTCCTGTTCCGATTCTCGCTTAGTTTTTTCTAACTTTTCCTTTCTTTCTTCTAAAACATGCCCAATTAGATCGCGCACAAACTCAATATCAGTTTTAACTATATCACTATTTTCAATTATGAGCTTTAAATCTACTATTTTAGGATTATCTGGAATTATTAAACCTAATTCCTGTGCAATCACAATCAACTCATCTTTTTTAAAGTTCAATTTAAGTGCCATTAATATCAGCCACTGCTAAAACAACACTTTAAATTAGAAATGCTATCAACTCCACACCCAAATCGAAAGCAATTACTAAGCGAAATTACTTAACAATGTAAACAACACACAAAACGAAAGCAACTCTACTAAGGCAATATTAAACATACTACTAGGCAGTATTAATACATATCAAAAACACTCAACACAGACCGAAAAGAAACAAAAAACACAATCGAAAAAAATAAAAAAACATATAAACCAAACTAGGCAGAAACGAAAGCTAAGCCAATTCAATACAATAAAACAAGCAACACAATTCTCAAATTACAACTAATCACTAATCGAAAATTCCACTTACCCTGAAAATCACAACAAACTAACACCACTACCTTTTCAGAATCTAATTAATAAGCCATAATTTATAACTCCCTACGCAACACATGTGAAATCACGATTTTTATTTTATTTTTAAAAAGACACTTCACTGACCTCTATCACAATTTTAAATTCACAAAATACATTCCCTAGTCACTAACTAACACCTCCGAGCTCATGTCGGACCAAAGATGTTTTTTATACACACAAGAAAAGCTCTGTATTTATTAAAAAAGAAGAGAAGTAAAAATGTATATGTATATTAATAGCGCCATCTATTAAGTAACAAGGCAAGGCGTGAACAAATAATAAAGATTAATGAAAAGAGAAGAAGAATTATGAAAATAAAATATTTTTAAAAATTAAAAAATGTATATATTAAATAACCGTAAAACAAAAAAAAAATGAAAAGATATCTCTTCATCAGCTCACGTGATTATATCCGCTAAAAGGAGTGTTTTCTAATATTGTATCAATGCAGCCAAAGCAAAATATATCATACATTAGTACAATTACATGTGAGTGTAATACTTACCTAACTAAACCTGGCACCATTTTTTGTAACTATTTAAGTAAAATTAGTAATAATATTAAAGAAGATTTTTTTGGATTATCACTAATAATCAACCGATTTTAGAATTTATTGAACAAAAGAAAATTAATTCTATTGCCACATTTGATTTCCAGGATGTTTTCAATAGCATTCCCCTTTCTAAACTAAAAGATGTTCTTTTGAGTTGCTACTATGATTTTAAAAATATCATTAACTACAATTTTGATTACTAGAAAATTCTTATTAGTTTTTGTCTCTTTAATAAATATCTTTACAATTAAAAAGATATTTTTATTCAAATTAATAAAATACTACAAAGGATCGAATTTTTCATCTCCCTTAGCTAACTTATTTTTACTCTATTACGAAAAAAATTATACTCTTAATATTAAATTTGTTTTTAGATTTACTGATGATTTAATTATCTTTAATTTTCTAGATTATGCAATTTTATTAAATAATATTTACTTCAAAGAAATAATCTTACTTCGTAATCATGGAGATAATTTTAATTTATTGAATTTGGGTATTAAAAAAAAAAAGATATTTGCTTTGTTGATTTATACAATAAAAGAAATTATTTTAATTTTAATATAAGTATACTAATTACTTGGAATTCTAATGTTTCAAAAAACATCTATTTAAATACCATTTTTAATCAAATGAATAGAATTAAAAGAATGTGTAGTAATGTTTATTTATCCAAAAAACAAATTGACAAACTGTTTCGAAATTTGATTAAAAAAAACAATGGATACCCAACTAATGTAATTAAATTCTATATAAAATCATTGAGTTTATTGTATGTTGTTATTAATAAATTTACTAAAAACTTCCTTGTTATATTATATTTTTGCCATCTGCAAATCCAAGTCAAGCAAATCTGTGACTGAAAGTCTATGCAAAACGGGCAAATCATGTTTCTCTCTTTTTTAAAAAAATAAATAAATTTTAATTTTCTAATATCATTAGAATTGTATAATTAAATAGCAATTGTATAATTAATAGCTAGTAATTTTTGTTAAAAATGTACATGAACCATTTTCTCCCTTGATCGTCATTAACACTAGAAGGACGGAAAATTAGTATATACCTATATTGCCCAAAAGCAGTCAAAATGACGGGATTTTGAATGCGTAAATAAATTTGTTTAAAATTNAATTAATTTTTAATATTTTTGATATTATTTTCAGTTATATAACAAGTTATTAGTAAATATTAACAATAAAAAAAATTTTATGTTGTACAAAAAGTCACAAAATTCTAAGAAATTGTGTCTATATGCATCATTGTTTTTCTAATTGAAATTAAAAGCAGTCAAAATGACTTCTTTAGGCAATCTAGTGTTAATAATTCATTAGCAACTATGGGGGCTGATGAGCTAAGTGAATTGATGGTGGAGCCTCCTAGAATTTTAAAAAGTAGTAACTTTAAAAACTTCAACTTTCAGCTATTGATATATTTTTAATCAAGTACATTAAAATGATTGCTAATTTTATTTGAGTGATATTTTTATTCTTCAATGTAACGGAAAAAAATTTAACTGATTTTCAAATCTGTATTTTCTAATAAAAATTTTTTTTTTTCTTTTATAATATTTTTGAGTTATAATATTTATAAATTGCTTTCAAAAAACAAAATTTCTTTTTTGACATTGTGTATTAGCTTCTCTATCTTATTTTGGTGATTCAATATTCAAGCTTTTTATCTTAATTCAAGGTTTTCCGGTGCAGATATATCAGTTCTTGTACGGGACGCATTACTGCAGCCTGTGAGAAAAGTCCAAACAGCTACACATTTCCGAAAGGTTTCTGTTCATCTATTTTACATCCACAAAAATTAATTTTATTTTTACTTAATATCAGTAAATTGCAAAAGTTTGTGACTATAATTTCAATTCCATTTATAAAAAAAATATAATTGTGCTGCTCGAGTGAGATTACGGAAATATGTCACCAACAAATGAATCTAGATAAGTGCTGTTGGCAACTGACTTGACCTAATGTTAAAAGCCAAACAAAACATTCTCATTTGGAATAAATATATATTTTAAGGAAAAAGGGTTTATTTCATGTGGTTGCACAAACTTTTGCAGTTTAATTCAAGGTTTTCCGGTGCAGATATATCAGTTCTTGTTCATTAATGCAGCCTTTGAGGAAAGTCCAAACAGCTACACATTTCCGACAGGTTTCTGTTCATCTATTTTACATCCACAAAAATTAATTTTATTTTTACTTAATATCAGTAAATTGCAAAAGTTTGTGACTAAATAGAATTACATTTATTAAAAAAAATGTAGTTGTGCTGCCCAAGTGAGATTACAGAAATATATGCAAAATGTTGATACCCAAGTTAAACTCATTTAGATAGTAATCGCGTGCCAGAAGCACGGCGATATTGTCGCAGAACGTTAGAGAGTTTTTTGCAGAGAGATTTTTCCTTTGTGAAGTAAAAAATTTTAAATTTCTTTTCTGCAGAAATATTGGAAAGATTTTTTTTTCCATCCAGAATTATATTCAAACGATGTCTTCCTCTCGCATAGGAGGGGAAAGAAATGCTCGCTATTTTTCTCTTCTCATTTGAGAACAATGAAGTAAAAAAATTTGTTTTTCTTTTCTCCAGAAATTTTTGAAGGATTCTTCTTTTTTTTATTATCCAGAATTAAATTAAAATGATGTCTTCCTCGCGCATAGGAGGGGAAGGAAATGCTCGAGATTTTTCTCTTCTCATTTGAGAATAATGAAGTAAAAAAGTGCGTTTTTAATTTCTCCAGAAATTTTCGAAATAATTTTTTTTTCGATCCAGAATTATATTCAAACGTTATCTTTCTCGCGCAGAGGAGGGAAAAGAAATGCTCATGGTTTTTCCATTTTCATTTGTTAATAATGAAATAAAAAATGGAGTGGAGGGTTTTGAACCGTGTCTGCATCAGGGCCCTGATGCAGACAACGGCGAAGTAGAAGAAACCGACGATGAAGGTGGAGCCCCCCCCCCTTTTTTTTTTTCCATTTTACCTTTTCTGTTAATTTTATATTAAAGCCTGTATATATTTTTATTTCATTATTATTTTTTTCTTTTTATCTTATTAAACTTGGGTGAATTACTTTATCGTTTTTTCTTCTTTTTAAAATTATTTCTAAATATATGTTTTTTTTAGTTGAGTTTGACAATAAAAAAAAAACGGCGTTTTGTAGCGATTCAGAAAACCGGAAAAATCAGTTTTTCAGAATCGTGATGGTCCCGATTGTTCCGCATAATCGGCTCTCTACTGTGTTAAAGTTTGACGTATTTTCGTAATAAGTACTGCTAGTAGTAGGACTGGGCGATATAAGAAATTTTATATCGTGATGCATCGTCAGTTTTGTATCGCGATATAGCGATGTATCGCGATATAGCGATGTATCGCGATATAGTATTTTTGAAATTCATTTAATTGTAAGGCGCAGAAAGTTAGATTTCTATCAAAACTTCATACTCAGATTGATTTAAATCAATTTATGAACTTGATGTACATGCTTTGCTTAAGAAAGATATTAATGTTATATTTTCTAAAACTGATCGCGCAAATAACGAAAGATTTCTTAGTTTAAAGATAAATAATAAAAAAATAAATAAAATTGAAATTTATCAATATATTTACCTAACAATATAGAAAGAAAATTTAAAAAATAAGTTCGTTAAAAATTATTTGTATGCTTAAAACAAAGTGCTAAATAAATTAAACAAA